TTCCGTCTTGCAAGATCCAACCCCTAAGCCCTAAACCCCTACCTGAACCCCAAATAGCTTATTTTTAAGGACCTATATAAGCAAACCATAATAGGGAACCCCAAAAGGTTGGTTCTTCAGCGTCTAGGCAAACCCTAACCCCCAACCCCGAAACCCAAACACTACGCAGGCTCTGGGAAACGTCCGCACCCTGCGGGCATTTTCTGGAGAAGAGGCGATGATGAACAGGCGGGGGTTCTAGGGTTTGAGGGGGTTTAGGCTTTAGGGTTTAGGGTTTAACTAAAGTTTGAGGGGGTTTTAGGGATTAGGGTTTCGGGTTTGAGGGTTGTTTTAGGCTTTAGTTAGAGTTTCCAGGTTCAGGTTTTAGGGTCAACCGCCTTCCGCCGGGAGCTCTGCAAGGAATTGACTGAACCCCCCCCGAGCTCTGGTCTAGTCCAGGGTGCAGGGGTTTAGGGATGTTTAGGGTTTAGTCATAGGGACCTTTTAGGGGGGCAGGGGCCTTATTAAGCCTTATTAGGTCAAGGGGCCCCCCGAAGGTTCCCCATGAGTCCTCGGTGACTTTTTAGGGGGGTAAGGGGGAGGGGGGTAGGGGTATACCCCTAGGGTTCTGTATGAGTCCAGGGTGCAGGGGTTCAGGGACGTTGAGGGTGTTGGTTTTAGGGTTTAGTGGTTTGGGGATTACGGGCGCAGCATCCAGTCAACTCGTCTGGGATCTACCGTTTTCCATCTGTGAGCACACTCTTGAATGCACCTCTGAGCAAGAGTTCCAGACGTACCTCCCCTACGAACTCTTAGACCCGAAACCGTACTGTAGGGACCTGATGAACTGGGCCTATAACCCCCCAAAGCAGCAGGATTCATATAAAACCTCCATAAAGGCAAAAGGTCTCTTTATTCTGGTTCCTACATTGAACCCGATCAGGTACGAACAGGAGTCCTACAACCTGATTTTTCTGGAGCATCAGCGCGGTGCCGCCTATGGACTCTATGCGACCTTCTACAATGGCTTGACCGAAGGCATCAAGGCCTGTCAACCATGAAGGGTCAAGTGAGTTGTTAGAGTAGGGGGTTTAGTCTCAGGATACTATCCAGCAAATGTTTTGAATATGGATGGCCTTCATCAACAGCGCCATCTGGCATATTAGAGGATTTCTGGCCCCCAAACCCAAAAACGCTCTGGTTTTGAATGAATGGATGTTGTTGAACTCCCCCAGATTCCATGGTGAGCAGACACAGGAATGTCGTTCTGATAATCTTTCCGCGTGGCTGAGAGGGTCCGGTTTAGGTTTAGGGTTCGGTGTTTAGGGTGTAGGGGTCGGGGGTTTTGGTGATTGGCCCGTAGTATCAGGGTTTAGCTGTTAAAAGCAGCCAGGGCTTCGTCGCAGGATGTCAGTTTGACTTGTGAGGGCAAGTCTAAGTCAGGCTTGCATTCTTTTCTAGAGGAGCTGCGAGAAGGTGTGCATGAGCATCTCAGTAACGTTGCTGTTTGTGATTTCCATATAGATAACCGCGAGCCTGATCAAGATGATGGCAGTCATGCTGTCGATGATGCTGCCGATGCTGCAGTTACCGCCGTGGTGTCAACGGATATCAGTGTCGATGCTTGATCAGAAGAGCTGTAACGAAAGGACGAGGAATAGAATAAATCCCAAACCCTAAACCCTACGATTCAGCTTAATCCTTCTGCCAGGCAGTCGCACTGGGCACAGGCGGTGTGCTGGTTTCACGAGGGGCGTCAGACTGAGGAGAGCGGCTTTCAGGTCACACCCATGCCCCGAAACCTGAACACTGAAGCCGAATCCTTGAAGCTAGCATGATAAGCTGAAACAGTGTATGAGATAACAAAGCATACTCGATCTATAGGTATAATTATACACACACCATATGTCATGTTAGATTAGACAATGTAAGTTCTGGTAAATTCAATCTAAACTTCACCGATCTTCACCGTATGTATGTTATATAAAAATTTTGCTTGGTTGTTACATGTTATATTCCATTTTTCAGTATAACTCTTATACCGTGTCACAATAAGCTTATATTGCATTTTGTATTGTAGTAGTTCATAGTACTTTGTATTGTACTATGATGTATTACATCATGTTATGTCTTGTTAGATTGAAGTGTTATGGCGAAGATAATAAATCTTGTCGATTATTGTACTAAAGCACATAATACGACCTTTTACTCTAGTACATTATGCGAAAAGAGTAGTAGGTGTTTGTACTTTATGTCATAATCTTGTATCTTCCTATTGGAATATATCATCTGGTATCATGTTATGTTTCATATGCTACGTTGTTTGTTTTATACTTGTTGATTTTCTACAGCGCGAAACCTAAAGCTTTTGTGTCTCGTATCTGTTTGTGCAGGAGCGCAGACGCTGTCACTGTTGTTGCTAACTGTTGGACTGTCATCGTCGGAAGCTAACTGTTGGCGGAATCCTCTACTTCCTCATTTGCAGCGTCTGCTGCTTGAAAATGGGTTAACGCTGTTGTCGAGTTCATGCAAGTGCCGAGCAGGAGATGTGTAGACATGTCAGCCTCGAAACGTGTGCCCCCAGATCCTTCTGGAGTTGTCATAGAGGGTACCTCAATCAACATGAGACTTCGCAAGTAGAGCTGTAAGTAAGGTAGCTAGAGCTATCCCTAACCCCTATACCCCTAAACCCGATATCTTCTCTAAACCTGGCACGGCTCCTTATTCCCATGATCCTTTAACTTCTAGTGTCCGGATCCTAATCGCCGCCAGGCCCGAAATCCTCAAACTCTAAAGCTCAACCCCATCATGATGATGATCGTCATCATCATGATTGTCACCAGCACCACCGTCATTTCTTGAAGAAAGCAGCAGCCTGCCGTATCCCGAGGCGATCAGCCCAGAGCAGCTCACAGCGTGCAAGCCCCAATGGGCGGGTGGACGTCGGATCACGTTTTATGCTCTAAGTTACTTTTACGGGGTCTACCAGTGTTTCTTTAAGGGGTTGGATGAGGGTTGCTGTAGCGATTGGTTGGAGTTGGGGACTGAGGGCTTTGAGTTTGGGCCTTTTAAAAATACAGTCCAGGATTTGCAGGTGCCCATGATCTCCGGCTGTTGTGGTCTTTGGTTGTGGGTTCCGGGGCGTGCAGGGTTAGGCTGACATGGGCGAATGTCTCTGGAGCCTGTTCGACGTATGCCCGAGACCCACTCCCCAAGTTCTGAACTCTACACCACAAAGTGACACCTGTTATCTCCGGTCCAAACTCATGCTGAGCCTTTACCTTAAGGCTCCTCGACCCTTGTAGTGAGATCCCGGACCCTAGCCCCCAAAGCCCAAGACCCTCTTAGGAGCCTTAGGGTAAACTCTGAACCCGCCATCTCCCAACTCATAGTGCAGGCGCCCACGCCCGTTTAAAAACACACCCTACCTTTCCGAAGCCACCAAAAACCTGAACATTCCGAAGTACATGGCGGAGGCGTTGCAAAAAGATGGTTTCTGCCTCCATGGGGATCTAGAAAGTAGATCCCCTAATTTGGGGCCCTATACTACTGAGGGTACTTTATGTTAACCCTGCTTAAGGGATCTTCTTTTTGGATCCTACCGGGGGTCTGGGAAGCCAAGGTCCATGCTCTATGTGGATAATGTTGTTGGCTCATCGCTGGCCGTCGGTGGCCAGTACAGGCCGGATCCCTTCAAAGGAATCCTGCAAAGGGATCCCTTAAGGGATTCTTTAAGGTACTGTTAAGGCAATTTAGGTTTTGTTCAGGGGGTCCTTTAAGGGATCCCTAGCACCCTAAACCCTTAAAGGAACCCCATAACGCCATAAGAGGAACCCTCAAACTCTAAACGCTTAAAGGAACCCCATGAGGGGTTGTTTAAGGTACTTTAAGGCAACTTGGGCTTCTTTCAGAGGGTTCTTTAAGGGCTCTTTAGTTAATCATACTCGAGCCCCAAGCACCTGCATGATGTAGCTAAGATGTCCTTGTAGAAGGTAGATGAAGAGCAGCTTGACGCACACGAACGTTTTTGGCTCAAGACACAAAACAAGCGTGATCACTACCGTGTCTTGAAATCATTGATTGCTTTGCAATTAACTGGTTAACAGCCTCAGCTTAGCTTGGTGTAGGTAGTGTAGGATCCTACCGACGCCATAGCTCCTTCCGTGTCGCTCCCTTAGGGTAGAGCTTGTAATCGGTTCGCCGTAGGTCTAGCAAAGACCTGCCCACTTCCATACTACTTTCCATATCCTGCACTGTCAATCTCCTGGGGTTAGAGCCAGAACCCTACAGTTGAGATCCCAACCAGAGCGTACATCGCAGCCTGGTTTTGCACATTATCTGTGAGGTCCAAATCTGCCGCGTGATTCGCCTGCCTGCTCAGGCATCCGCGTGGTAACCTTCTTCGGGTTTCTCAAAGCCCTGCCTTAGCACCTCTCCCGTAGTCCCGTTCACGGACGAAGGAGGCCAGGCCTTGTGGTGCAACAGGCGATCCAGTAGAGAACAGAACACAACCGCAACGTGTCAGGAGTGCGATTGCATCCCAGCAACCCTCCTGTAAGAGTTCCGCTGAGATTGGAGGTTGATTGAGATTTCTGGTTTGGGTTAGCGTGGGTGTTTCCCGTGCTCGGCCTTTGAACCGCTTCCTCAGTCCCTCATCCCAGCTGTAGACTGCCTCGGCAGCACAGCACAACAGCCAAAGGCAAACAAAGAATCAATTCCAAATCCCTTCGGCTCTCAGTCTGCCAGCCAGGGGGTCTTCCTAGTTGACAGTTGTTCATCTGGGTTGTCAGTGGGTAATCAAGGAGATTATCTGGATTCAGCTTTCAGAGGCAAGGCATCGAGGCGTGCTTACGCAGCCAACGGGGGATAACTGGGTTAGACTTCGTGACGAGAGGCGTGCTTACGCAGCCAACGGGGGTAATTAGGTGAGATCTTGATACGGGTTTCGGGTAGTTGTCCCTCGGCCATCAATTTTCTTGGATTTCCCCGCTGCTGTTACTCTGCTGCCCTTGGGCCATTGTATGCATCAGCCGAAAGCGGTAACTCCAGAGGAGCGGTTGGAGCTCAAGCACGTTCTTCTTCTTAACGCTGAAAAGCGCGGGGGCGAGAGCGGCACCAATCGCCGAGCGAGGAAGTCGCTGCACTTGAAGATCGTAGGAGGCTTTTTGGCACAACTGGAGCAGCTTGAACAGGAGGTCGGCGCTTTGCACCCGGTGGACGCTTCTAATAAGCAGGTAGCACTGGAGTACATTGATTGGTTGAAGGGCGGTAACTTTCCCACGCATCACCAGCCACTTCCTGAGTTTCAGACGTCGCCAGTTGGACCTCCTCTCTTCCCTGTCGTTCCTAGTGCTCCATCTTCTTCAGTGACTCCAGAGACTCCCGACAATAGAGCCGTCACTGATAATAGAACCTCCGGGGCTGTACCCGTGAGCGAGCCACGCGAGCCACCGTATCCACCGCCTTCGATTCGTGCCTTGGGTACTAATTCAGAAAGGGTTGCGGGATCTTCAGGGCTAGAGGCTTCCGGGTCGCTAAGTGTTCTTCCGAGTGGGAGAAATTTGCCGCCCCAGCCTCCTGTTCCAAAAGCTAAAACAGGAGTCACGCCATCTACTGCACCAAACGTCGGACCATATCTCACGCTCGGACAGCGAGCAGCGGTTATCTCACCTAACAATCCGTTGCTTCGTGTGCGGTCGAGATCTCCACCACGGTCCTCTTCGATCCCATCTGGATCGGCAGGTAGCGGGGTTGGACCCGAGAGGGAGCGCGAGGCAGCCGAGGAGATTCTTGAATCAGCCGAGGAGGCTGCGGAGGAGTCTCTTGATTCAGGTGCGGCTGCAAGCAGCGGGGTTGGACCCGAGCGCGCGACAACAGGCAGCGGGGCTGGACCCGAGAGGGAGTTGAGGTTCCGACCTGTGGCGCGTCAGGTGACTTCGCTTAAGGTTGCGGAGGGATTGCTTCCGCCGGGTACTTCTGTGCTGCTGTCATTGGACATTCATTTGGTCGCTGACCGCGACGAGGCGAGGACATCTGCGTGCCTTGAGAGACTCTTGCGAGAGCACTCGGACTTGGCTGTGATTTTCTGCTCGTACGCGGTGAAGCAAAAGACCATTGATAAGGCGGTCCAGTGTATCCACCGTATTTGTGATCGGACGATTGTGCGGCGCCCTTTGACCTTTCCCATTTTCTTCACGACATCCAAGATTGCGCCGGGCACAGGCAAAGGAGCACAATTGTCTAAGTTGGCGGATATCTTTAGCCGGTCGCGCCCCGCTCCACTGATTTTTTTGTATCACGTGGACGATCAAGATCCGATTTGCAAGAACGTGACATCCTACGGCCATCACGGTGTGCATTGGGCGGAGGAGGACCCGCGTGCTTTGGATCAGATCGTGTGGGAGCTCTGCTGGCTCTAGCCGCCGACTGGCAAAACAGAAAGGCAGAGGAAGACTGCAAACGCAGCTCCTCGGGTTTGGGTTCGTGTTGAGGGTCAACTTTGACGGTTGGGGTGAAGTATTTTTACAACCCTTAGACCTCGGTTGAACCGCTGTTCCCATAATGCCTCTAGCATCACAACTGGGATTCGAAGAATCCTCACTGGAAATTTCATCGTCAAGCACGCCCCCTAGGGCTCAAGCACTTAGCGTGCGCCCGGAGGCAGCTAGGCAGTCGGATTCATCAAGTTCGGGGCCGATTCGGAGGAACCGGGCTAGATCATTGTCGTATGGACCCGCATCGAGGTCTTCATCCCTGCAACCGGCACCAACCTTTGCAGCGAATGTTGGCCCTGCCCGTAGTCAGAACCCAACCGGCCCGAACACGAGCCATCAGGAGTTGCACTTGCATCAACATGCCCATCGGCAGCAGGTCCTTCAGGTTGGGGTTGACCCGGTAGCCCATGCGAACATGCAATCCGAAGCAACATCAGCCATCATGAACGCCAGAGCTGAGACAGCAGCCGTGTTTGGCGAAGCCGAAGCAGTGATTCAGTCTCTAAGATCAGAGAACCAACAGCTAGGTGCCCAGGCCGCTGCGATTCAGGGTGAGTCGTATGCCGCCATACAGGCGCTAAGGTCCGAAAACCAGCAGTTGGGTTCACGCGCTTCGGTGATTCAGGGTGAAGCTGAAACGGTGATCGGAAACCTCCGAACTGAGAATCAACAGTTAGGGGAGATGAACCGTGAGCTCAACCAGAAACTCGAAAAGCAAGCTAAGATGATCCTTGAGCAGCAAGAGTTATCTAAGGCTATGCATCAGCAGCTAATCGCGCTTCAGTCGCATGTGCAAGCTGCCGAACCAAAGAACCCAAGCATCCCTTCATCGGCTATCCCCGCGAGCTCTACCCAAAATGGCGCGGATCAGGCTGCGTCTGCATTCAACGCATTGCAGGCACTCGCGGGTGAAGTTGGGGGAACAATGCGAAGGATTGAACAGGCAATTGAGGTAGCCCTTAGTCCCAAAGCCAAAGCAAAGAAGCAGAAAGCTAAAGCCGAGGCTACAGCTAGGGCCATTGCACCATCAGTTGCGTCTCCAATTCCCGCTAAGGCTTCCGGTTCTAGTGGTTCGGTTGCCCCGGGTCCGGTTGAGTTTGGATTGCCACCGTACCAATGCAGCCGTAAGAGCATCTTCACGGGTAGATTGCATTCCGCAACACCCGCTTCTCCACCTCCTCCACCACAGAAGCTAAAGCCCCAAGTCTTCGACATAGCAGATGAAGATGACTTTGATGAGCATGGCGAAGATGAGGGTGATGAGGACGGAGAAGATTTCGAGGATGATCCAATCGTCCCCGTTGCGGCTCACGAGCCTGAAGATGACAGAGATTACGAGTCTAGCATTTATAAGTACAAAGACCTGAAAGACATCAAGCTTCCCCAAATTCCGGGTTCTAGCGTTGAGTTCAGGGCTTACCGCAATTCGGTGCTAACACAGATTGCGTCAATCGATTGCAGCGGCAAAGCCGTCCTGTTGAAGTGGCTTCAGAAGAGCCTTGATCCATCAGGGAGCATTGCATTGACACGGTCGCTTCAGCAGGATTGCGAGGGTTTGCCTAGACTTGATGGGTGGATCTCCGCATGTATCAGTGATGCGAAACACCTAAAAGGTGAATGGGGATTGCAAGCGCAGTCGTACTTGGAAAGGTGTCATGCGTCTGGAACAATGCCATTCGGTCGTGCACTCTTGTCCATTCTTAGCAGAAGATACCGGATAGATAAAGTGCGCGGGCCATTGGTGACACTACAATCCTTGTTCGATCTAGAACCTGACTCATTTTCTTACCAATCGCTTGTAGCCTTCAAACAACGCGTCGAGTACGTGTTGAATGGCTTACCGGAGCGGCAATGGCCAGATGCCGAAACAATGTTTTCCTGGATCTACTCACGGCTAAAGGGATGCAGGATGCTTTCACGCACAATTGATCGGGTCAAAGATGCCAAGCCGGGTTCCAAGCGTAGGACATTTGAGTACATTTGGAACGGGCTCGAAGAGGTTCTTGCAGAAGTGCGCGAGGATCGTAACGAGCAAGCGCTCAAGGATTCGCTCAAAGAGGATTCCAAACAGAAGCCGAAACCAGATGCAAATGCGAAAGCAGCCGCGGCCAAGGCTACGCCCGCCGCTCCTGCTGCAAAGGCAAATGCAAAGGCTAAGGCCAAAGGCCAAGGCAATGACAAGCCCCCGAAGGCCCCGAGCAAAGCAACTCCAGGAGTCACCGACGCCAATCGTGGTGCCGGTGAGGGTGCCAACAGGGACAAAGGCAAAGGTAAAGGGAAAGGCGGAGGTAAGGATGGCAAGGCTAAACCTCAGAAACCTCCAGCTGCAAAGGATTCGTCAGCTGAACAATCCGGCCAAAGGCCAGCGTGCTTCTTCTATCCAAAAGGAACATGCACTAGGGGAAAGGATTGCCCTTTTGAGCATGTAGATGCACCAAAGAAAGCTGCTCCATCAAAGGCCGCCCCAAAGGTGCCTGCCGGAGTCGCCATGTTAGCAGCCGCGTCGACGGGCGCGAGCGCATGCAACATCCCTTCATCATTTGTCCGCGGTTTCAAAGCCACATGTCGCTTGATCACCGCTCCCTTTCGTGTGTTTGCCCGCTTTGCGGCAGCACTTTCATTTGCATTGCCCGCAACCGTGCGACAGTCAGTAGACCTAACTGTTCAGGGGGGTCGTACTTCCTTGATTGGGTTGCTGATTCTGGGGCAGGGAGAAGCCTGCTAAGCCAATCCGCGCTTGCAGATCAGGGCATTTTGACTGATATGTTCAGCGATCACATCCGGTCAACCAAGCCGTTGCAGTTTGAAACCGGGAATGGTGTGACGAGCAGTGGCACCTTCCTTACTACAACGAGCGATGCCTTTGGATCAGTAGAATCCTATGTTCTGCAAAGCTGCCCGGTAGTGCGGTCTTTAGGCCAACTAGTAGAGTTGCAGCGAAAACCTTTCGTTTGGCTTCCTGGTAGCATGCCGTTCTTCGGTAGTGACGAAGATTGCGTCCAGATCACTTGGGATTCGGATCGTGTCATTTATGCCCATAAGGTTGATGACTATGTTCCGGTATTTCGTGAGCAGATCAGGTTTGGTGGTGATGGTTTGCACAGAGCCTTAGCCGCTGGTGAGTCTGCTCCGGCAGCCCCAGCAGAGGTTCCTGCGCCCGCTGTCCCAGCAGAGGACCCTCCTCTCCCAGCTCCCGCAGCACCCCCTCCACCTGATCCAGGGGAAGGTTCCGGTGCCGACGATGAGGGTGATGAGGATGCACCAACCAAGGCTCAGCGGCTAATCACTGAAGCCCAGAGTTTACAGCATCGCTTAACGCATATGCCAAAGAACCCCTACTGTGATGTCTGCAGTCGGAGTCGAATGCTAAAGAAGCGAACGGCGAGGACGCGCTATGCAAAGTGTGATGATGAGTTAGATCCGGTTGAGGAGTTCGGTCAACGGATAGCGGCTGATTTCATCATAGTGCACAAAGACGCTAAAAGCACTGAAACCGTCGTCCTGACTGTGAGGGATGAGGCTACAGGGTACATAAGAGCTTTCCCGCTAGTGTCCAGGCACGAAGACGGGGTGGTACGATCATTGTTATCCTTTCTCGGTAGGCGCGCTTCTGGACCTTGTGTATTGTTCAAGAGCGACAATGCGCGAGAGCTCCTCGCCGCATGTGCGACGTTGGGGTTTACTTCAGAACCAAGCCTTGAGCGTAGATGGCCTCACAACTCAGTTCTCGAACGGGAGATCCGTACCATCGAGGAGTGTACAAGGGCTCTCCACATTGCGGCCGGTTTTCAGTTGCATTCGGGTCTTTGGGTTCACACTGTTCGCTATGCGGCACACACCATTAACCTTTTCCACCCTGCGGTCGGGATTGAGGGTTGTCGGTATGCGAACGCGATTGGATCCGAGTTTGGTGGCATGAAATTACAACTTGGTCAACTAGTCTATTACAGACTTGACCCGGCAAACCGTGAGAAGTTTCAGGCATCAGCAGCACCTGGTGTTTTCGCAGGTTGGCGGTTCGATAGCGGTCCATCATCATTCAGAGAAGTCTACTATGTCTTGGATTATGGTAAGCTAAAGAACCGTGAACCGGGGTACGAAAAGGCGATCTCCGTCCCTAGAGAGGAAATCCACGTTCCCCGCGGCAATCCCATCCTCCCGATGTTCACCGCTGCAGAAGCTGCTTTGTCTAGTTTCACGAAAGCCGAGTATGAAGCCATCGAATTTCTTGATGTGCCGTTCAGCACGGTAGCGCCGTCAACACCCGTTGCCAAGCGCCACGAGTACATTACTTTGGACAGACTTATGCGACTAGGTGCAACACCTGGTTGTAAGGCCTGCAAGTTCGATGGAACAGTACACACGCCAGTATGTAAGGCAAGATTTGATGGTTTGATTAAAGCCGAGAAGATTGCCGCGAGCAAGTCAGTCAGAGACGCTGCACCGCCTGATGTTGAGCGCCCTGATCCTTTGGCGGAGTCTGCACCTGCAGCCCCCGAGGGTGATGAGGATGCTCCAGAGCGCGCGAGCTCCTCTGCTGGCCCACGGGCTCCAGCTGGTGTTGTAGTTCAGTCTTCCGAAAGCAAAGTTCCAACAGGTGAGTTTGGTTTGAGTGCAAGGTTTCTCGCAAACGAGAGAGCGCGTAACAACACCAGAAGGGTGAAGGAACTTCCAGGGGAAAATGTTCTTATCGAGTACGGTTGTGAAGACGAGTCTGAGATAAGAGATGCTTGTGAACGTTGTAAGGTTCATTGTGTTAGTCTGTCCCAGTCAACGCTGGACTTGACTTCGCAGGATGACATGCAGCAAGTTGTTTCCCAAGCAATCCCAGGTGTAGATGCTTGGTTCACCATACCATGCACACATATGTCTTCACACCAAGCCGTACATCGTGAGTCCCAAAGTCCCAAGTACGCGCGAAAGATTGCACAAAGGCAAGCAACATCCAAGCGAATGTTGGTTTTGGCCCTAAATGTTGCCGACCATATCATTGAGCAGGGGGGTCGGGTTTCGTTTCAGTGGAGTTCTGATTCGGGGGTTCTTGTGCAGCCTGAGTGGATCGACTTCGCTTCGAAACACGAGCTCTCCAGTGTAGCCTGTGTCAGCGGTAACAAAGCCACCACCATTGCTTCGAACTCCAAGCGAGTACTGGAGCACTTCGCAAAGGTGTCAACGAAGGAGTCATCAGAGATCAATGCAACCAACATCAAAGCGTATGAGCTTGCGGATCTCGTGATACAATCCTTGTTTCCCCAGAGGTACTTCAAAAGTGTCCCCAATCTTGGTAAAGCTAGCGCGCTTATCACCAAGAATCTCTCTCGCCGAGAATGGCAAGCTGAGCCGAAGGCGCTTGAAGCCATCGCTCAAGAAGCTGAGGGGTTGCGCCGAAACGGCACATGGGATGACACGACGGCCATGCCTTTGCATGAGTTGAGAAGTCAGGCTAGGTCTCAGGGACGCAAGCTTCGCGTCGCAGAACTGATGACCTTGTGCGGGGTAAAGCATGCCGAACTTGCACCTGAATTTCAAAAGTTCAAAGGGAGAATTGTTTATAGAGGGGATAGGGTTTTGGATGAGTTTAACAATCTGGTTTTCTTCGAAGAGACCAGTACGACTCCAACGGGGTTAATAGCCTTGAACGCCTCCCTCTTCTGGGGTTGCTTACCGGAGCACTCTGTGTCATGCTCTGACGCAATCCAAGCATACCTCCAATCAGAGCTTAAAGAAGAGACATACGTAATCCTGCCAAGGGAGTTGTGGCTCCCTGGTTGGGAGGAGCGTTTTGGAGCGCAAGCGCGAATAGTCGTTCGACTTCGCAAGAGCTTGTACGGCCACCCACAGGCCGGACGGCTCTGGCAAGAGTACTTGTCTAGGATTTTGATCTCATTAGGCGGAAAGGAGTCCCAGGAGTTTCCAAGCAACTGGTTCTTTGAGTACAAGGATGGGGTTCTCATCTTAAACATTTACGTCGATGACTTGAGTTTGTGCGGATTAACAAAATTGCACACGCCATTTTGGCAAGCGTTGAGGGCGAAGGTCAAACTTGATCCCGAGTGTTTCATAGGTTCTGAGGGTGTTCGGATCTTAGGTAGACTGCATTGTCGGTACGATGAACCATCGTCGACCACAATGGCTTTTAGGATGCCTGAGTATGCTGAGCAGATTGTCCAAACCTATTGCGAGATCACCGGGACAACGCCCGACAAGCTTCGTCGAGTGAACACGCCCTGCATCGCTGAATCGTCAATGACCGACGAGGATATCTCAGCGCAAGGCGAGCTCCACGATTCAGCATCACGCATCTTGATGCGCTGTTTGTGGTTAGCTCGTCTCTGTAGAGCTGACATCGCATTTGCTGTAACTCGCCTAGCTTCCAGGGTCACTCGGTGGACCGCCTGGGAGGACAGACAAGTGCTTAGACTTGTGTCGTATATTCATCACACCAGAGATGTTTGCATGAATGCCAGTTGCTCTTGGGATGCCGCTCCCGAGCTACGGGTGTATACAGACGCTGACTTCGCAGCCTGTCCCTACACTTCACGTAGCACGTCCGGGATTGTAGTCCACATAGGCACAGGTCAGCATGCATTCCCTGTGATGTGGCAAAGTCGCAAGCAAACGTCTGTTGCGAGGTCGACGCCAGAGGCCGAAATGATCTCAATGGCATCAGCCATGTTTTCAGAGGTCATAAACCTGCAGACGTTCTTACAGTCAGCCTTCAAAAGCACAGTGCCAATCATCTTCTTCCAAGACAATGAAACTGTTTTGGCCATCCTGAAGTCAGGATACAGTCCAAAGCTTCGCCACTTAGGGCGCGTGCACCGCGTGAATGTGGCAAGTATGGCAGAGATCTTTGAGCAAGAAGATTTTTCGGCTACTTACGTGAACAGCAAGGAGCAATTAGCTAATGGTTTGACTAAGATCATCCCTCCTGCTGAGTGGTCTGATATGCTCACACGTTGTGCCTTCACGAAGGTGTCCCTCACAGTGCGACCGTCTCAAAGGTCGTAGCTGAGGAAGCAGAGCGTTTTGCAAGCTCACTGCCTAGGAAGATCACACAAGAAGACCTTGTGCAGCTTTTGTCGTACTTGCCAGGGGAGAGCGCCGTGCGCCCCTCTGCAAGTGAGGCAATGTGCTTCACCACCGGTGCGTTCGCGCACGGAGGTGGGATCGCAGGTTTAAGGCAAAATGTAACCCTCTTCCCAGTAGTCACTGCGGTTTTGTGCAGGTTCATCCGTAGGGTGTTGCCTAAGCATAAGTTTACGGCAGTGATGTTGGCCAAGAATCAAATTACTTTGACTCATAAGGATTCTTATAACGAGCCATGCAGCAAGAACGCTGTAATCCCACTTGAAGTGTTCGAGGGGGGCCACGTGTGGGTGCAGTCACAAGACGGTGGCTACCCATGCCCAGACCTCAGTCGAGGTGAGAAGGGCGAGATCCTTAAATGGCCAGCGATCTTCGATCCAAGACGGTTACATGCGACGACCCCTTGCACGAAGGGTGACAGAATCGTCATAATTGCCTTCACACCTAGAAACGTGAGCAGGCTGCCCGTCGACAGCCAGCTGAAGCTGCGAGAGCTTGGATTCCACTTCTAATCGGAGTGGCTATTCCACCAAGTAGGTAGTCTGCGTAACTAAGTTCAGTGTAGCGTTTCACGCTGTCTTCAAGGGGGGAGTTAATCATACTCGAGCCCCAAGCACCCGCATGATGTAGCTAAGATGTCCTTGTAGAAGGTAGATGAAGAGCAGCTTGACGCACACGAACGTTTTTGGCTCAAGACACAAAACAAGCGTGATCACTACCGTGTCTTGAAATCATTGATTGCTTTGCAATTAACTTCTTTTAAGATTCCTTCGGGCATACTTTAAAGGGAGCCTTTTGGCGTCGCTTAAATCAAAGAGCTCCAAAGGTGGGCTGAGGCTAGGTGGGGGGAAACACAAAGAAGTGTCCTCATATAAGGGATCCTGAAGGCTACCTACCTTCAAAAGGGGAAATGCAGGGACCCTTAATAAGGACCCCTAGGTATATACCCGCATTATAGCTATTAACTCATATATAGCCCATTATGGGGTAGGGGTCCCCATTAAGGGTCCCTCCTTTTCCCCTTTGATTCCACCTTTTGAAGCCTGGGCTTCCTTGAAGGATTGAAGGTCCGATTAGGATTTATAGGGTTCAGGGCTGGGGGCCACGTACTGCACCGGAAGGGCTCATGTACCTGTATAGTCTATACGTTGGCCGAAAAGTTGCCCACAAGGATACATGCAGGGCTACCTTAGGTCTTGAGGGAACGTTGGGGTTTTGGGTTTTGGCTAAGGGTCTGCAGTGTGTAGAGGTTAGGGAAAGTTTGGAGATAAGACACTTTCGGATTGCACTGCAGCAGATGGCCAGTGCAGGCGAGAGCTCCGAGGCTGTGCAACGGACTGCCCAGAGCTGGCTGACTTCGAAACAGGCCATGTTGGCTGGTCTGGAAGCGAAATATCGTCTCCGAGAGCTTTCCCGTTACCTCAGGTCCCTCTGGGTCCAGGTGAGAGGGTTGCCAGATCGCCGTCATACGGTCGAGCTGATTGGCTCCCAGCTCTCCAGCTGTTTGGACATAGACCTTGGTCGATGCGGCCTGGTCTACTTGGTGACCTTCCCGGACATTAATGTCTTCAAGGTCGGCTTCTCCACTTGGGCCAGTTTGTGGAAGCGCTTGAACAGGGCAGAGTGTGATGTCTGTATGCCAGGTCGTCTGCGAGCCATCCAGGCGGTAGAAGGATCCGCCCAAAAATTACTTGTGCGGCTTAAGGTCTATAGCATGTTTTTTTTGACCGCTTATCCGATTCAAGGCGATGGTGGACGGGAGCCAGAGACTGTTTTGACCATTTGAGTAATGAACGGTGTGGGCTCAGGCTGGCTTGCTTCCAAACCCTAAACCCTAGACCCTTGCTTCATATCAAGTGGAGGCAACTCATGCAAGCCATCGGCTCCTCTCGGAAGGCACGGCGCTGGCTTTGATACGTTCCCTGGCTTGGGAATTTCCGAAAATAGGGGTAGGATCCTTATTATAAAGACCCCCAAATGAGGTATCCCGAATTTTGGGCAACTCCCGTTTAGGCCGAGAAGGATCAGGGTTTGTAGGGTTTAGGGCTACTTGAAGGGTCCAGGGTTGTGGGACTTCAGGGTTTATAGGCCTTTATAAGGCTTAAGGGACAGAGCCTAGGGGGCCAAGGGTTCTGTACCCTAAGGGTCCAGGTGGTTTGGGATTGTCCCCCGGATGCAAAGCTACATCCTGGATCTGAGATCCGAATACCGTAAACGTTAAATCAAAACAGTGCTTCTACATCGTGCGCGGTTGCTTGGGTCCTACGAAGATGGAGGATTCAGGGTTAGGTTTAGGGAGTAGGGCGATCCTATTGTATCAACTTGCCGAGATACTTGTGCTTGCAGCTGGTTCAAAAAGCAATCCCCGAGCCCAATGGGGCAGAAGAAGGGCTTGCCTTAGCCCCGAAGAAGCTACCTTTGTAAGGACTTGTATAAGGAAACCATAACGAGGAACCCTCAAAAGGTGGGTTTCTTCGGGTCCAGGTAGGGTTTAGGGGCCTATTCCTTGCGTGAAAGTGACGAGGCATCCCCAGCCAGAGCACCCATTGTTTTGCTGAGACTGTGGATTAGCTTCGTTCGTTGGGCGGAAAGAAAGGATTACCTTCTAGGATTCCAACTATGAACTACGAACCCCAAAAGGAACTACTACCATTGGTAGGGGTTGGGAATGGTTTAGTGGTTCTGCCGGGTTTAGGCTTTTAGGGTGTCGTCTTTATGGAGTCGCTTCGCTGCATCTATGCCAAAGCAGCTGCACACCTTCCCGTGTTTGCGTTGATGTCTCTGGGTCCGAGCATCGAAGCAGAAGCCGTGCCCTGAAGCTCTCTAAAGCAGGATGTACGGCCTTCTGGTTTGGGCTACCCCCCCTGAACCCTAAGCCCAAAGCCCTAAACCCAAACCACCCCCCCGCCCCGGTTTCACAAAGAGAGAGGGCTGCGGTGGGATCGCAGGTCTTTGAGTATGCCGAGATGGCTCCTTCCCCGTCGATGGTGGCGACTGCAGCGTGCCGCCCTGAGCAGCAGCCCTCCTTCCCCCTTGCCAGGTGTACTTGCAGGTTCATGGGTAGTTCTCAGTGGAGGTATAATTGGGGGAACTATAACTGTAGCCCATATTAGGGGACAAATAACTCCACATAAAACTACCCATGAACCTCCATGTAAGATTGTGATGACACCCGTTAACGTAGAAATCTTATAGTGTCGTACATAACCTCATCAAACCCTTAAGTCATGACTCAAGGATCCCTTATAAAGAACGTAAAAATAATAAGCAGCCCTTATATATAAGTTATAAACCGCGACCGGGTTTCCATAGGGCTTTCGGGCTCTGGGGGATACCCATGCGACATCCTAGCAGTAGAGTAGGTAACCTTTTGCATTTTTGAGGTAGTATAGTCCCTATATAATCCCTATAAGCCCAAAAAGGGTAACCGTTAGTTTCCCATGATACCCGACAAGTAGGACATACTTTGCAGAGCCAAGTTCCCCCAGCCCGACAAAGCGACCTTCGCCTTGAGGGTTGGAAGATGGATTCGGTTTAGGGTTTAGGGTGTGGGGTTTAGGGGTTTAGGGTTTAGGGTGGGAGGGGGCGGATTTTGCATTAGGGAGTTTCCGAAAGTAGGGGACCCTAATATAGCACCCTAAATAGTAGGCTCCTTATTACAGGGACCCCAAAATAAGGTACCTCTAATTTCCGGAAACTCCCATTGCAATACTTGCTAGGTTGCTGGGGATCCTGGTAATGGCTAGATGCGGCTTCGGGGCGTGTAGTGTAGCACTATAAGCCTACAAGGGCAAGCAGGGAATCGAATTTTGACCTCTCGATCATCACCTATCATTTCAAGAGCACTGCAAAACCGCTTGTTGCTGTTGGTCGCGGCGCAGGTATCTCGTTCACATATATACTGTAAAACCACATAGTCCCCCTCCCTCCCCCTTCGGAAAAAAAAGAAAACAGAAACAGATCCTAAATCCTGTCGCCTAAGCACGCCTTTGACTGCTAACCCCTTACTACACCCCGGACCCTGCAAACGATCTTGAACCCCAAACCGTCATTCCTTGAACACCTTCTACATCCGCAACCCAAACACTTCCGCGAGATCCGAAACCCTAGACCCTGCCCTTTAAGCAAGATCCCGAACCCTAAACCCGTTAGACAAGATCTTAAACCCGAAAGTCTAAACCTTCTAACTTAACAAAGAGAAAGTCCGCAAGCAAAAACCTCTGACAAGTTAACCCCTAGAACCTTAGCACTGGGCTTTTCAATCCTAACACCCTAAATGCTAAACGCCACACCCAAACTCCAAAAATCCTTTAACAACCAGACAAGAAAGTGTGCCTAAGGGTCCATGTGCCCAACAAGTCTATACTTTGGCCCCCAAAGTACCTAAATATGACTCACCCTGGACACCACCCTTTCCCAGGACAGATAGGCAGGTGGTACCTGCAGAGGATCTGAAGGGCTCCGTGTCCTTCCGCCGGGGGGCCTTCCAGGATTTCTTTGGGTACCCCCTAAACCCTCAACTCTAAATCCTAAGCTTCAGGGTTTCTAACACGGTTTGGGAGTTTTGGGCTCAGGGTTTGGTTTTCAGGATTTAGAGTTTCTCTTGGGGTTTATAAGGGTTCATCGGGCGGGGTGTCTTTTGTGATAAGAGCCCATGAGGCAGGAGGGTTTATTTGGGATTATATGGGCCTGTTGATGGTTCTTGAGTCATGAACCATGAACAAGGCAGTAGCTCATGAGGGTTTGAGTGTCTTGTAGAACAGAATCTAATAATCTATATCTTTTCTAAGGGCCCATCCATGGATCCTAAGCACAAGCAGGCATAGGCATACCGTTACAGCGGTTCAGGGCTTAGGGTGTAATGCTTCGGGGGTCTACCCTAAGGCTCCTAAGAGGGTCTTGGGCTTTCTGGGGGAGGGTTTCGGTGTTGGGGGCTAGGGCTAGGGTCGTGGATCTCACTACAAGGGTCTAGGAGCCTTAAGGTAGGCAAAATGCCGGTGTACCAGTTCCTCGTGTTTCCTCAACATGCAGAGCGGTCAAGAGCTTGACGACACCATGTATTGAGGTACCTCTTGGGGTTACCTTTTTCGCCGGCTATATCATCCTGACTCTAACGCATGGTAAGCGTTGCAGGTTCTAGATAATGTTCAGGAGCCACCGTCGAGTGGGTTCCGGGCATAGGGCGAAGCGTGTAGGGCCAGTAAAGCCCTAGGGCTCGAGTTACCTAAATGGTACGTCACTGGGGTATGGTCAGTAACCTACTATTTAGGTAAATAAAGCCTCAGTGTAAGGTTTAGGGTTATGGGCGCAGGGGTTGCCCTTTCCAATCATTCACGAAATTCTCAAGGGCACCTGCAGCATGAGCAGGGTCTCTCTTGCTTCGCACCGCAACCCCAGCAATTCAAACAAAGACATTGCCATCAACCCCAAACCGCAAACCTTATTATGGTTTGTGGGGTTTGGGCTTATCAACAACATCCTCTGAACATTTCTCTCGGAATTGCCCTGACTG